ATATATATATATATATATATATATATATATATATAAAATTAAATAATAAAACTCTTACTGAATAAATTTCATCTCTGACATTTTTTGTTTATGTGTGGTAGAATGACTACAAACTTATTTTGTATAATTTTTTCCTCAAAGTGGAATCCATCTGGGTTACATAGGGTTAAGATGATTTTATCAAAGTTACCAGTTATGTAAATTAAACTGTGATGTTAGGATTAATGTGTGTTAAGTAATGTCATAACTAGTGCTTATAATCTTTTAAGTAAAATCAAAATTAGAAGTAATAAATCGTGGAGAGATATCAGAATTAAAACTTAAAACTATGATGTGAATTAATACTCCATACCTGCTTATGGACTTTAGTCAACTGATCTAAATTATTCTCCAAAAAAGCAATTTTCTGCTTTTGTGCAGGACTGCCACCTGCATCTTCACTCTCTTCACCAGCAACAGATTTCTTTACCCGACTCTGCAAATCCTGAACGAATAACCTCCTTAAGTTGTGAAGAGTCTGGAGTTCTTTTGCCTAATCAAATACAAAAGAAAGGCTCAGTACATCTAAGCATCAAACACATGCCCAAAACTCCTACTAGACAGTAAGCATAGTGTTTTAAAACTCATAAGCTTGGATCTGTTTCAATGAACTGAAAACAACAAAAATAATTCCTTGTGACACTTTGTATTAAAATTCTCCAATGTTTTTTTGGTATTCCAAAATGTGAAATATTTTCCCATGTGTAACATTTTACATTTGAACACTATATTTTCGCATTTTATAAATCAGATAGCTTCTTTTAAGTCAATTAATGTAATAACTGAAATAATTTGTATTTTTACTTCGTAATATGACCAATTCATAATTTTGTCTTTTAATCCTATCGCCCCGGGTATCCTTTACTGTGCATGACACAAGGTTTCAGTGCCTTACATTCAAAGTTTTATTAAAGTACTTTTTGTTTATGTTATACCAATTAGAATAGCATAAAATCTTAGTTAATAATCCATATTTTAATACTATATACAAGTTTTAAGTTCTTAATTCTACAGTGCAATATTTTAAAAAATTCTGAATTTCCACTAGTGTGCCCCATGTGACACATTTTGTCTTAGCATGTCATCATCCCTATTTTATCCACCACCAAGAACGAAATTAAATGTAAAATACTCTCTGTAAAATCCTTATTGCTCAAACAAATTCTAATTTAATAGCCTTCAATTTTGTATTGTTAGAGAGCTATCAAATAGAAAATCAGCCCCCTCATACCACACCCACCTGTCACATCCTCTCTTTCACAATTTGTTGATAGTTCTCTCTTACATTTTACTATATATTACCTATAACCAATAGAAAGTCAAGGTTTTCATTCACCAAATGACGTATTGTATAAGGTTGTATTCTGAACAGAATATCATAAATTTACAGTACAGTATTCGATCCTGTGGGAAAGTTAACGACTAGCTTAAATGAATTTGTAATGACTCCTGTTGCATAGTTAGAAAGCCAGGAAAATTTTGAGAGGTAAGTGAATTTGTCTACTTTTTGCATGTTATTAGTCTATATACCTTGGTGCATTATTTAATTAAATAAAAATTAACCCGAGAGCAAAAAAATGAAGATTGGGTAAGTACTTTATTTCTTGTTTTTCATATTAATTCTTTATTTATTCTTATAAAAATAAATAAAATCTAAAATATGGATTTTTTTAAGTTATTTAAGACTAGATTAGGTAAAATAAGTAATAATGATAATATAATTAAAATGGTTCACGAGGTATGCACAGAAGCAGTTCGTGAAATAATGTAATTCGATAGCGTAATATGAGCTGCACATTCCCAGAGTGATTTACAACTTATAATGGCACGAATAGTAGGTAGACATGGTTCAAAGGGCAATAAAACAATAAAATTTAATTATAAATAGATCTATACTGTTACAAACTTAGAGCTACTTAGGATAAATGAATGTAGTTTCATGTTACAATTTGAAATCATTCCAGAAAGAAAAAAAAGTAACTTAGGTTTATTTAGATTTTTTTTTTGGTTCGTTACAAGGTAAATTGAATTGACCAATGCCATTTTGAGATGGGGTAAAGAAAATAATACATAAACTATAAAATTTCACTGAAAAAAACGTTTAAAATGCATTTAGGAGGTTTTGGGGATTACACAAAGGAAATTTGAGATTAGAAAACGTATTTTTAATTTTAACATGAAAATTACTTTGCACATGGACAATTCAAAACAAATACTCAATATATTAATGGACAAATCTTTATCTTATTAAAAATAATTCACTAAAAAATGATTTTTTGTATGTGAAAGACAATATATGAACTAAAAGACTGCCACATTTTGTGAAGATTTACACACTATATTGAAAGTTAGAAGTATTAAATGTATAAAGACTTTGATCGAGTACAAAGAGGCTAGGTGGTCAGTCAAGTTGACCAAGCCTGTGTTGAGAGAGTTAAAATAACTTAATCAAAACTTAGTATATATATTCCATACAACAATGCCAATAGCTATATATAAGAGAGTTATGTGTGTGCAACACCTCCAGTATTGAAATAACAAAATTTTTAGATTTCACTTCAACTCATTGTTGCTATACCAAAATATTTATTCCCACTAAATGTTTTTATATAGAAAGCTTTAACATCCTGTAAATAGCTATACATAAAATAAAACATGAAATTTTAATCCACACATGATACATACCACTGTCTCTTCCAGTCCTTTTAAATCTTGGCGAGCTTGGTCCTGACGATCATTCAGTAAACTGAAGAAATACAAAACATAATTAAAACTGCTATTACAGTAAGAATAGTACCAGAGTTCACTAAAAGGTACATTTAACAATTTAATGAAAAAATAAGGGGAAATCCTCAACAGCCACAGACGGGAATAGAGTAAATTAATCTACAAGACCCTTTTTTCGTTTTTATTAGCTATATTTGTTTATCCAAAAATGTTTCATGCACATTGCGTGCCCAACGAGACTAAGAAACATTCACACACCAGAAACGATGATCATAAGAGTGTTCGTGAGGCACCCAAACACCTTCTTTAAGGAGTTTGTCCCATATTCCTTAGATGTTTACATGTTGTTTCACGAGAGTCATGCAATTTCAGGGCCATTTCCTGAATGTGTTGCCTTGGATTAGACTCAACAAGCATCTTCAGAGCATCAATATCAATTCCAACATGTCAGCCCCTTCCATCATAGTTTTGAAGGCTAAAGTCAACTGAATGAAATTTGCTGAAGCATCGTTGACACTTATGAACTTTCAAAATATTTCCATAAACTTCTTTGATATTCTTTGTGGCTACAGAGGCATTGTTTCCCTTCTTGTATTCAAACATCATTACATCCCGAATGTGTGTCTTGTCATGTGGCATTGCTATAAGGGATTAGAGTATACTAAATTTTACACATTATACAGGCTACACTAGCATGACGTTTAGGCGGTTCATTTAACTATTATACGTGATGTACCTTTTTTGGGGGTGGTTAATGAAAGTGTTACAAAATGCAACATTAATTTCTTGATGACCTAATATTTAAGGTTTCCATCTGAAGAAAAATCCTTATGTCAATTTTTCGAAACATTTGTCTCTGTATTAATACAGTGATTTATGTTTTTTTGCTTTCATTTTTAAGAGAAAATCCTTACGTTAGTTCCTGAAGTTTTCTATTTTTGTCTTGCTCCTCCATTTTCAACTTCTCATACTCTTTTTGCAGCTGTTCTTGTGCTAATGAGAGCTTCTGGTTCATACTGGAAGTAGTAATAAAATATAGAAATAACATTAGCCACATAAAAGCAACACAATATATTCAAACAAGCATCTAATTTCAATAACAAGATTTTTTATGTTTAACACTAATCAATCTACAATTAAATTATCTAATGTAATTCATACAAACCACCACAAACCTAAAACAATATTACTTCCTTTGCCTCATACAAAAAATCTCCATTTTTAGAACATATTTTTATCCTATATTTTCTTCATCACAAACAATTTTCAAAATATATACTAATTGGGATGTTTATTTTGGATCTTATCTACATCTTCATAACAAATGGTTATGAATGGAGGAAAATATAAATCTTGGGAAGAACTTTAATACTGCCTTTTTTGAAAGCTAATCAACTTTTTTCAGCAAGTGATATAATAATTACATCTACTGTAGGAAGATATTTTTTAATCCCCCCCCCAATTACCATTGAAAATGTTAGGCAAAACTAAATACAGAATATGCAACTAGGTAATATTCTGAGATAGTTTACAACTTTATAAAGATGGTAGAAAAGTTAATACTAATATATGAATATACAGTGATCCATTTAAACTAACTAAAACAATTTAATAATAAGATTAGTGAAATATGCACTGTTCAACAAATAAAAACTTTAAAATGGTACTCCGAAGACCAAAAAAACACCCACTCTTTTAATTCACTAATTTGATCTTGTTTTTCTGACAATTCATTTCTTAGTGTGGAAAGCTGTTTCTGATGTGACTCTCTGTGTTTTTCTATTTGTTGCTCTAAAGCAATTTTCATTTTTTCAGCACTGTCTTTCTCCTTTTCCTTTTCCATGGATGTTACAATATGCATTTCTTCTGCAGAATATAAAGAAAATGTTATTACGAAAAATCAAGCTGTATCTTTGAGTTACTAAAATACAAACTTGGAGCATTTATAATTTTATAATTTATATAGGCAAAAAAAAAAAAATCACTGCAATTCAATGTTTATGGAATACTTTTAAAAGGTTTGATACAGCTGCTTTAGCTTTCTTATTTTGCAAAATAAGCAAATATTGTAATTATAAGAAATGTTTCACCTTTTAGAAATCTATGTTTACAAAGTTATTTGTCATTCTCACAGCATTTGAAGCAGATTTTCTATTTACTATTATCATACTGGACATTTTATTCCCGCATTATGATAAAATATCAAAGTTTCACATTGTTATAGCATTAATTACACATACAGACAATTTTCCTAACCATACTTATAGTACAGTGGGTGAAATATATATTCTAGATGAACTGTACTATCATACTGACAAAAATAAAGCATTATTACATATTTATGATATTTTCATACAATAACACACAACTATGTAAAAATAGCCAACTACTATAGATCAAATAATGAAGTATTTTGCTGAATACTCACTTTAAGAAAATTCTCATACTGAAAATTCAGCACAAATGAATTGTAATATTATTTTCAAGTACATTAAGTTTTGGATGAAGGCCTTCTTCAGAGGAATAGAACTATCTATTTGATATCAAGAAAATCACAATAAGTTAAAAAATACTAAATGTAAATATAAACTAGTAAGTGTAAATAAAGTAAATAAAAACAGAACTGAAAATGATTTAAATAAAAATGAATAAATATATGTAACTAAAACTGAAAAAATACACTAAGTCACAAAAATGAACGCAACTGAAAATATATTAACTCATTTTAATCATTTTCAGTTTTATTTTGATTATTTACATTTATTTATTTTTAACTTTTTTTGTTTACTATTTATTTGGATACACTAGAAGCTGTTAAAAATATTCATATTCCATCAAATAATTAGTTCTATCCATCTAAAGAAAAGTATCTGTAGTGTACTTAAAAAATAACATACAATAACAATTAATTTGTGCTGAATTTTACCACATCTAATACAGATGTTCTGTATTTATTTCTAATATTAAAAACACTGGAATGATATTACAATATGTAAACTTTATAAAACAAATAATATTAACTTCCAGTCATCGGATCAAGCCATCTACTTAAATCAAAATTAAAATCAACCTGCTAAGTTTATAGCTAATTAAGTACACTTTTCTTACATTCATATCTACACAGATTAAAATGCATTGTGTAATCAATCAGTCAGATAACCTTGCTATTAATGACAGTTTCTGCAATACACAATAACTGATCAGTTCAGACTTAAAAATGCTGACACTGGGAATGTAACATGAATCATGAAGTTTGCTTAACATTTTATTATTACAGTAGAGTTTCAAAATGTTATTCTCTTAAATATACTTACAGAATTGTAAACACTTTTGAGAGAAATATTTCACTGAACTGTCATGAATGAAACTAAAATATTTTCAGTTTCAGAAAACCTGCTGTGATAACAGGTCTAGAGTTAACATCAAAGTTTTTACAGATTAATGAGGCTGTTAGAATTTTATTGCAAGTTTTTGATGAAGTACAGCAGCCTAGTAAAATGTTTCTGAGGAAGATAATCCTGATTTTTGTACTTTTTATAACTAACAAACAAATACATCAATAAAAAGATCATTATAACTAAATCTAATGTGTCAATGAGAAAATATATGTGTCAACCTTACCACAGTTGCATACATGTGCAAAGATTTGAATGCTAACTTTCTGTTCCTATAACTACAGATACAAAACTGTATTTCAACCACCTTTGTCTTGAACCATGTAATTCTATGTCAATTAATGTTTATTTTTTTTTTAGATCCAAGTTGAAAGAAAAAGGATCTTTAAAAAAAATGCCATGGTGTTATTTAAGATAGACATGCCTATCAGCTGCAACCAGTACGTTCTAAGTATCCCTGATCTCAACTAGAATATTTGTATCTGAAATAGGTTTAATCTCATTTATGTCATTTAATTTCAAAAGAAATGTATTTTCATAAGCATTTGATCATTGCTAGCTGTTCAAGCTCTAACTCAGATTCTCATGGAATGAGGAATGTTCCTAGTAAAATACTTTTTATAAAATTAATCTCTACTGAACAACAGTTCATTTTGTATGGTATGTATCTTTTATTAATACACTAATTTGCTACAAGTTACAATCACCACTTAAACAAGGGAAAATTTTAATGTTCAACAAAAAAACAAAGTTTAACTCAACAGTGTTACGTATCAAAGAATAAAAAGCAAATTAACATCCTACAGACAACTATGAATAAAACTGTGTGATCTACTTTAATACAGTCACTGAGATACATTGATGCAAAAGAAAAAATCCTTAATATAGAAAATATAAAAATTAATAAATGCTTGATTAGTAAAAATATAACTAATATTGCTGAGTATCAAACTGTACAGAAATGCTTATAATTTGATGCTTTATTCACTATTCAATTCTCCCATAATATTAATGATACACATAGAAAGAAAAAAAAAAGAAAAATCAAGATGCAGATGAAAAGATGAAAATAAAACAATTACAAAAAATGTCTTAGCTCTTTTAATTAATTGTAGAATCATATGCATAAAACTCAAAATTTTCCAATATAAATAAAGGCCTTACCAGCTGCTTTCAGCTTAGCACATTCTTCATTCATCTGATCTACAGCTTCCTCTAAGGTCCGCCTCTTACTTTCCACATCCCGCATAGATTCCTGAAGGGACTTCACTTTGGCCTCATACTACACACATGAAAAAGATCTTCTACAATTCTTCAATGCACTAATTTCACATGCCTAATTCAGAGTTCTAAGTATGAATGGTCAGCACTTGTTTGATGTTTAAAAGAAAATAAATAGGTAAAATGCAATGTTTTACATTTAAACAATTACAAGTTTATTATAGCCATCAATAGCTTCCACTTAAAGACATTCTACATATTTTGACACCTTCTATGTCATCTTCAGGATTTATTTACAAGACAATTTAACACCTATACTTTCTGTATGTCATGAGGTATTATGTTTCAGAGTGATTTACATAAATCATTCACTACCGTTTGTCATTCCATATACCAACTGAGTTGATGGCCTTTCATCTCAATTTCATATTTGTGGTTAATTGTATTATTTCAATTGATTCTCAGATATTTGAAGCTATAATATTATGAGGTTGAGCTAAGATTATAGTTTTGTCCCATAGAATTGTATGTAGTAGTGTCTGTACATTTTTTGCTAAAGCTGTATATTTCATTTTATTGTTTCTTATGTATCCTTTACGTCCCTGCAATCTGTACTTTAAGCTCCTTTTCAATCCAGAGCCTGGCATGATAGCAACTAGAACATATCTGGTCCTAGAGAAAAGAAGTAATATACTCATCTGACTAAAGGCTCAACCAAAAAATGTAATATTCTCACCTGACTAATTAGCAACCGACATTCGGCAAGCTCTTTCTCATTTTCTTCAACCTTTTTGTTACTTTCAAACTGGAAGGTTTCCAACTGGCCACAACGCTATCAGCAAGCAATAAACAATAAACTAGCATATTAATACACTTTATAAAGATACGGTAACATTTTCATTCTTCATGATTATTCACTGATGTAACAAAGAAATGATTTTATCATTGCATGATGATGTCAAATAAAATTTGTAAAATATCACAGTTTCATCTTTTCTTTTTAATCAGTTGCAGTAATAACTTGTCATGAACTTGTATTTATATTTTACATGATACCAAAATTAATCTAATTACTAAGAGTTAAAGTTCACAAAAACCTGGAATGGACAAAACATAAGATTAAACTTCCAATGATGGAATAGAATGTGATAATGCTTTGCATCTACTAATGTTAATTGAACAACAGTTTTTCTTACTTCAGTCCCCTTCTATTCCCCACCTATTCTCCCACGTGTTAAAAAAATAAAAATGGAACTCTAGTCAGTGTTTTCTTTAATACTTATGGTACCTGTACTGTTAACTGTTTCCCTAAGCAGGGTATATTTGTATTGCTTACCAAGTGTTCATGATATGTGTTTATGTATTACCAAGTGTTTCCTTACTCTTGAAACATTTATTATCAAATGAGCTCTTTTTACTAATAGCGAGTATATTTTTAACAAAGTGTTTTTCTTAATGAAAGAATACAAGCATAGAATATTATAAAAAAAAAAAAAGAACCAGCTTACAGCCTAATGATACCATTTCTCTTTATAAAATACAGTAATGATTGTGTGAAAGATAGCTATTAAATCATGAGACTCACACTAAGATATCTCATATTAATCACTTCAATATCCTTTAGAAAGCACTACCATTGAGATAGATAATTTTATCTTCCCTCACACAGAAAAGCCTTTTGCACTCTAATACTCTTCAGTGCTAATTGTAGTAACACTTAAAAGATGTTGCTACTGTGTTGGTATTTTATTGTTTCTTTATAAATGATTGTATTTATTTTGGGTATTATCTTCAAGAAGTTTATTCAGCACCTTCATAATTCTGGTATTTGAATCAAAAACATATCCAAGTAAGTGAATGAATGAAATGTCCAGCTGAACAACTTTCAATCCCCTCAAAGTTTCAGCATGTAAAACTACATTGGAATGAGCATTTTTTCATGAGGAATCACTTCTACCTGAAATGAAAATTGACAATTCAAAACCTGCAAGGCCTTTTCAATACTGCAATACTGGTGGATGTATCAGAATCAAAGAATATAAAAAAAGTAATAATTTTATACTTTTACCTATAACATTTAAAATTACATTTTTTCTACACAGAGGATTTTAGTACTGTCATAACACAGATAAAGGTTTTGAGTTCCCTACCTGAGTTAACGCCTTTACTTCAGACTTCATTTTGCTGACATACAAGCGAGCAACAGTAAATTCTTCTTCAATTTTTCCACTTACATCTGTTGAAAGCTGTCAAATTATAAAAAATTATTGCTCCTCTCATAATAACTATTTTTAACCACTGCAACTTATAATAAAATTTCTCTAACTTTGATTATTAGTTTCATAATGTTGTAAAAACATTTGTTATGAAATAATAATCTTTATCATCTCAAGAAAAATGCAAATACTTGTTTATTACGTATAAAACTGCACAGTAAGCTATATATGCTGTTGTAGTACTCTCAGTTGTTAAAAAGTGATTCACTAGCAAGCACAAGAGATTGACCCTTTAGCTCAGTTGGCAAAGTTCTTGTGTGGCACATGACAGGTATTGGGTTCAAATCTAAGGAAAGGAAATAAATATATATATTATAAAAACAAATTATCACATCAGCATCCAACAAGTGGTCCTCCTATGACCTTGAAATTAGGAGTGGTCCACATGCCACCCTGGATAATCTCCTCCAAAGGACAACGAAGATAAGCAGCCAAAGACATGGTCAGATGGCAAATTTGATGTGAAGAGACCTAGAAAAGGTGACAGGAGTCAGGAGACAAGGAGGAATAAGAGATATGTTGCCTAATCCAGCCAGTCAGGGTAATAAGAGAATGGTCACAGGAAATTAAATGATTCCAGTAAACAAACAATTGGGAACATGAACCGGACACATGAGATGGTCAGGATCAGTACAGAAATATTGATGGGAAGTCAAAGAAAGAAAAATAGGAGTGAAGGCAACTTCATGAGCACCAGAGATTTTAAGGAGGAAGGTACAATCAACATAAAGGAGAATGTAAGTTTTGTGGTAAAGAATGCAAGAGACACTGAGGGCAAACATATTCGACTGTCAATACCCATAAACCAACAGGACAAGGAAAAAGGTTTTTAAGGATAAGTTATATATGGAATAGGAAGCCAATGGTTTGAATGGAATAAAGAAAAAAGCATGGAGGACAACATTAAGATCCCAATCCAGTAAGGATGTTGGTTGTGACAAAAGGATCGAAATAGGAGGGAAATAACGGAAGAGAAAAGGACATAGCAAAAAATGGAAAATATTAAAAATATAAAATAACACAACTCTATAACCAGCAATGATCAAAACAGAAAAGTCATTGCCAAAAAAGCATGTAAAAAATTTGGAAAGGTGAGGAAAAGATGAAACTCCAATGAAGAGACCAATATGCACGTACGCTGGTACACTGACATAGAAGAATGGTGGAGGGAGTGGGAAAGAAAAAATGCTACCCATGAGGAAAGTCCAGAACCTCTCGCAAGGAACCAGACAAGAGCCACTTGTGAAGCTGGAGAGTGGGGTCGGATGGATGAAGCACCACTGAATGAGGGAAAGGGAGAGAGGAAGAGGTAATACTGATGACAAATGAAGAGGGAGAAATAGTGGGAACCAAGATTGAGCTAGCCAGAATGGAGCCATCAGAAAGACCCGACACAGAGTGGTGTAGACAATGGATTTTACATTACCCACGAGCTACTCGTGTGCGTGCCTTGTAAACCATTTTAATTATATTATTATTATTATTACTTATTTTACCTAATCTAGTCTTAAATAACTTAAAAAGATCCATATTTTTAGATTTTAGTTACTTTTACAATAATAAAGAATAAATATTAAAAACACGAAATATAGTACTTACCTAATCTTCATTTTTCTTGCTGTTGGGTTTCGAAGAGAGTTAACCCTAATTTTTTATACAATAGATAGGAATGCACTTAATAATATTTATTTAATTAAATAATACACCAAAGAATATAAACTAATATCAAACAAAAAGTAAAGAAATTCACTTACCTCTCAAAATTTTCCTGGCATTCTAACTATGCGACAAGAGCCATTACAAATTAATTTAATCTAATCGTTAGCTTTCCCATGGAAACGATGTTCCTACTCTGAGTGAAAAATGATGATTATCTGTTCAGAACACAATGTTATACAATACATCATTTGATAGATGAAAACCTTGACTTTCTATTGGTTATATGTAATATATATATATATATAATAGAAAAGTAAGAGAGAACTATCAATGATTTTATGCTATACTAATTTGTATAACATAAACAAAAGGTAGTTTAATAAAATTTTGAATCTAAGTCACTATAACCTTGTGACATGCACAGTAAATGATGCCCAGGCAGAGAGGGTTAATGCAAAGCTGACAAAAGAAAATTCACCCATCACTGTATAGGGTGCTACTGCTGCAAATATCCTTCTTGCTCAGATACATATTACTGTTCTCAGTCTGTAATTTGTTTTGTTTGTTTGTTATTAAGCACAAAGCTGCACAAAGGGCTATCTGTGCTCTGCCCACCACGGGTATCGAAACCCGGTTTCTAGCAGTATAAGTCCGCAGCCATACCACTGTGTCACTGGGAGGCTCTGTAATTTGTACCTAAATATTCTTTGTATACTTCTTATTTGTCAAGAAAGTAATTTTTTCAATTGTATGAGTGGAATTTAAGTTTATAAAATATATAAATATGCTGCTTTTACATTTACATTTAACATTGCTGTTGAGTTATCTTTAAAGGTATACATACATGTGTGTATGTGTATTTCTATGTAGTTTGAATTTATATTCAGTACCATAATACATAATACAACACATATATTCAAAAAATCAATATGACATGTTACTTGTACTATATTTCAGTACTTATTACAAAATACAAAATTTACAAGGGTATTTTACCACTTGTGTACCTTTGGATTTTGAATATTTTGATATAACACTATTATATAAATAGAAAATAAATACAACCCAGGTGGCATTATAAAATATTATATTATTGAAAATTTAAATTCACAGTGTTTTTTAATTTGCATATTATCAAACAATGGTATAAAGTTTTGTTTTTCTTACTTTCATCTCAGCACCATTTCCTCCAACAACTGATCCTATCTCACCAAGATCTTTCATCAAATTGGTTAACAATTCTATAACCCTTTTACGGTGGTGAGTACTTTGTTCCTTTTGCTGTTGTAGTTCATTCTGACAGGTACTCAGCTCAGACTAAACAAACAACAAAACATATTTTAAGCTCATAACACCAATAATTTAGTAACTTAAAACTACATTCCCATATTTTCAGATGATCTTACAAAACAACCTCCCAAACATGTAAAGAACTTGCTACTGATTTTATCAAATTCTAATTTAATGAAGTTTATTATAAACCAAAACAATTAATATCAGAAATGAACTATACAACTGTTTCATCAGTGTTTTACTTTACCCTAAAATATTATTTCTGAGTTGTCTGTTTTTAATTAACAGCATGGTTCCTACTGAATTTCTCAGATTAATTTCAAGCACTTTTGAAGGACTTTCTAAGCACTCTCAGAATGTTTTTCAAGCATTTTTTTTAGAAGCTAAAACCTACATCAAAATCAATTGGATTCCACAGAAATATAAAATTATTATTTGTTAAACATATGAATGTAGACTTTAAAGAAAAGAAAGATTTTATTTATCGTGCTCAACTTCGCAACATGTTTTAGATATACGATATATTCTGCTATTATAATATTTTAAAGTACTTTTGCAAGCACTTTCAAGCCCTGGAAATTCCATTATCAATTTCAAGAATGGAATTTCAAGGGCTTTCTGGGATGCATAACAGAGAACTACAGCTAGAACATTTAAAAGATCAGAGTACTGGTTTCCTCGCTAGTAAATTTTTCATCCTGAGGCACTGTATCTTCTGAAAACATACATGAAGTTAACATCTTCCTTATTTTATCGTATATTTCTGATAGGTAGTGATCTCTTTACACAGAACAGCTGTCTTCCTTAGCTCTTTTGCACATTCTGCCAAAGAGATTTGCAAGTCATCAGCATTGTGAAATTCCCACCTAATCTCACATAAAATTATGTGAATTTGCACTACTTCATAATTACATCATCATGCAGTAGAATGCTCCACCATTGGGAGTATGACTCACCTCTATATGCAGTGACTCTCCCTACATTTTGCACTCATGAATCCTCATTCATTGACAAAGCAATGAAGATGTGTGCATCAGAAAATGAGGAAGATGCACGGTAATGCCTATAGAGGTGAGAATCTATCAAAAATACATTTTCAGGTAAGGAAAATGTTAACTTCTGAAACAACTACTCACCTCTCACACAGACTAGTTAGAATCTCGCATTGAGATGTGGGGTACCCTTGCAAAAATTACCTAGATGAGCTCCCTTTAGAAAGTTTCCAAAGGAAGCCCATGGTATGTGGCAGGAGCTCCAAAGGAGCACACCTTTGGGAGACCACATCTTGTATCATCTATATATGAAAATGGAAGAAGCAAAGAAACCATAATTGTGTCACAAGGATGGACAAAATAGGTATACTGCCATCCGAGTACTTTCACACAAGCTGTCTGACAGCCAATATTTGTAGTGGGGTTGGGGCTCGATATGAGTTAGTATGAGCCATATAACACTTGAGGTTCCTAACAGGACATAACAAACAATCTAAATTGGAGATGTTATAAAGGTGAGAAATGACTGGCAAATGAATTGGTGAGAAGGATCTTTTCCCTTCCCTAGCTGCCAGAGTCTTTGGAAGAAAATACCTCTCAGGGTAAAGCAGGACAAATGTGGAATGATAAAGAGTCGGATGCACATGGATTGCAAATGTCCACAAGCCGAGAACAACAAAAAATACAATTTAAGAGAAAGGTGAAACAAAGAACATGAAGCTAAGGGCTCAATGGGAGAATGAGACAATGTTTGCAAAATAACTGTAAAATCACATTTAGGTAATTGAAACATCATTTGGGTCAAAAAATATTAAAAGATTTGAGTAAACCTGATAGTACTGAGGATTCAAAAATATTCAAAAATAGCAGATAAGGATGTCTTATACAAAGCTACTATAGACGAAGCAAGACCCCTTTCAAATACAAAAGTCAGAAAATGGGATATGGTAGATACTTTAGGGTGAAGAGGGTTTAAATTCCTTTTAAAATACCAGTAATAATACTGTGTCGGAAAAGGATGGCATAACTTCCAAGCATGAAGATTGAGTTTCCAAGCATCTGGGTGGAAAATGTCTGATCGAGGTTGTCTCAACAGAAACTACCAATGTGGAAGAGGTAGAGGTGGACATTTCTGGAGATATAGAAGAAGTGGAAACAACATTTGAGCTGGCCAATATGGTGCAACTAAGAGAACTCAACAAGGCATGGAATGAGCCATAGTCAGAACCCGAGACAATAGCCAAATTGGGGGAAAGCATACAGATGCAAACTTGTCCAGTCCTGACTGAATGCATCTACTGCCAATGCCTGAGGATGAGGTATCGGAGACCAAAACAACTGCAGTTGAGAATTCCAATTGTAAAGGCATTGATCACTGGAGACCTGAACTGAGAGTAAATCCACTCAAAAACCTCATGAAGTAGCATCCATTCTGTCAGAAGAATCTGGATGGGTCGAGACAAGTGATCTGCAATTAAATTCATCACTCCTGGAAAATGACATGCTAAAAGACTGATATGATGAGAGACAGATGTCCAGAAATTGATGTAATCATGCTCCCACTGCTCCCCCACCCACTGGATAGTCACCGATGCCGTTGGTCTGTCCGAGTCAAAGATCCTCGACAATACAGACAGACTATTATGGTAACCAATAGACTTGGGAAACAAAGGAGGAGGTCAGGAAACACTACGAACTGACACTCCTAAATTAGCACTAGAAAAGCGAGAAGCTAATGATGATAAAGAAGAAGCTGAATTAATTCGTGATTCCAATGTCTCTGGAACTGTGGCAATCCACATGGGTCATAGAAAAGGAGATTCCCATAACTCCCTGAGGGCAGAAGATGGTAAACAAATATTTTCTAACATGGCATCTCTACCCAGTAAATCCCAATAACAAACCAGCCAAGAAACCAGAGAAAGAACTGAAGAAGACAATCTAACTGAAGTAGACATCAGCAATTCATCCTCAAATTGCTGAAGGGAACATTGATAAGCTTCCAACAAAAGTTGGATCGAAGATAAATATCTTAGGACAGTAGTGAAAGTAAGACAAATCCCAGAAAGCTGTGATCTGTTCAAAGTGATCACAGGTTTCAATCTAGAACCACACAAGTCCAAGAGGGGTTCCATCCATTGAGAATGTAAACATACATCCTCCTGGGGGTGAAAAGCCAAAGCATGCTTTTTGGATAAACGTGTGGGGGGGGGGGGGGGAGGACAAGGCATAGCTATCCTGTCACGTAACTGAGCATCAAGTCTCCCAGGGTGAACAGCAATATGAGGGGCAAGAGGAAAAACCAAGTAGTCACTAGCCATCCTTTCCACCAACAAGGAAGGAGTAAAGTCAAATGCAGTAGGAGAGACCCCCAAAACCTCACAAAACCAAGTAACCAACTGAAAAAGGAGTAAAAGAGGGAGCCAAAAAAAGCGAGTCTAAATTCCCTCCGGCTGATCCTGAGTCATTTGCAAAAACCACCTAACAACCCCCAGAGTGACACCTTTGGTCCACATATATGTATGTCTCCATCTTGCAACACATTACATCATAGACAGCCTTGACTAAGGGTGTCCCCTTCCCTGGCTGTTGACAAACATCAGATAGCAGAGGTGGAAAAAAAAAAGAGGTCTGGTTGGCCTCCGTAACAGAAACATTAATTTGGGAATTAATAACAGTCATGTTTTTTTTTTTAATTAATTCATTTATAAATATAAATGAAAATATAACCATAGTCACACCAACTATGTCCAAAGTCGCAATGTAAATTATGTAAATAATCACAACACTTCTGTTTATAGAAACCTGTACCAAATGCTCTGTGCATTGAAGTTGGTGGAGAAATTTGCAAATTAGAATTTGCCAAGGGCAGTCAATCAAGGTATATAAAGACTGGAGCAAGCGTTTTCAATGCTTAGATGGGCAACAAGTGGAAACCCTGGAAATTGAGAAATAGCTAAAGTGTCAGCAGAGGTGAGTATGTTTTCGAAGGTCTTTTGTTGGTGTCAATGCAATGGGAGAGAGCAAAACCCTATTTCTGGAAAGCAAGCAAGTGCTAGCCAGAGAAATAGGCAGATACACTGCTCTGGTGCAGACTTCGTCATGATAGTCAATTGAAATGTAATATACACACACATAAAGAAACAGAAATGAAGAGATACCACGAAGAAACCTCAAGTGGTCTTGTGAAACACCCCATCTCACAGTGGGTACTTATAGAGCAAGAGCAGATTGTATGAGTGTTTTCCATTATCCTGGCTCAATTAAAAGTTTGGGTAAATATACAAGTATACCTGAGAGGCAATACTAGCCACCTAGTGGAATCCTACTAAATGAATAAAGGGTCCTGAAAAAAAATGGTGCACATTCTACTCAAAAACAGTGAAGAGATGGAAGAATGACAACCTGTGGAAACCAAATACCAACAGGAGATAAAACAGCCAGAAGGTGGAGAAGGATGTATGAAGAGGTTCCACATGTCTGCCTGGAAAAGCTCATGCAAAGACCAGTGAAGAAAAGGTGGAAGATATTGAAAAGGGTGTGAAATAGAATGCAAACATCATCATCCTGAATCAAACAAGTGAACAGATGAGTCAATGGGCTCATCCTGGAAAGGAACAAGGTTGTCAGGAACTTACTTTTTAGTAATATACATTAAAGTAAAGATATGGATTTGTTGGGCTAAGGATTCTTCTACAGTAGGTGTCTGTGACTTGTTGGCAATAAATTTGACAATAAATGAACAGCACATATTCCACTTGTTTTTTAAAATAACTTACATATTTGAAACAAGTTAAATGTATGTGCAAAATTCTTTACACTATGGCAATCATAGTTGTATCTTAAACACCATACAGTTCTCTTCTTCTTGTCAAAAGTCCACTTAGGCCAATTCAATTGTTTCAGAATTCAGTTGACAAGCCTATCTATTTTCTCTCTATTTCTATCACAATAGCATTTGTTTATAGTCTACTTACATTGTTGTTGAGTTATCCCTGTTGTATCCTGTACTTCCAATAGTCGTCTGCTTTTGTACTTCCAATATTTGTCTGCCTTTTGTCAAAGACCATTAGAGTAGATTCAATTACTTTAGAACACCCTTTGACAAGACAACTTATTCTCTTTATTTCTTTCAAAATTATTATTCTCACTCTAATATATAAACCATTAGGCCTTTCATTCCTAAGATGGTTAAATTTACATTTTCAAACCTTTCTTTTACCAAACTTCTCTTTCCCATGACTTTACTTTTTACTCTTTCCATTGCCTCTCATCTAATTGTCGTTATTCATACGTCTATGACTTGGGTCTTATAGAAATCTCTATATCCTCGACATCAATGAATTACAAACACAAAATTAATTAATTAATAATACTATTTACACTAAACAGTCTTTTAAATCTGATAAAGATTCATGAAAAATAGGAGTCCAAAGACAGAAACAGAAGAAGACAAGGACTTTTAAAAAAAAGAGGTTCGTGATAAGGCACAAAGAACTATCCAAAAGAACACAGGATCCAAACTGGGTCCAAATGGTCTAATAGAAGAGAAGTATAGTTCACCTACACGCGGTTGAAATCCAAGGAAAAAAGGATTGATTTAGGAAGTGCAGTGGAATAGAGTGTGAGATACATCAGGAAGACAGAAATCAGAACAACAGTAATTGCAGAAAATAAGTAGGAGGGAAGAAGTCAGGAGAGAAAGACAGTAAAGGGCAGAAAGGCATTAGCTTGAATAGGGCATGCATGAGATCAAGCAAAACCCCAACAAGGTCTCTCAGTCAGGCAAAGGAAGCAGGATGAGGAGGACAGGAATACTAAAATGATGAAATATTTTATAAAACTTCTGAAACAGTCAAACACCTTGAAATATGTGTAGTGAGGTTGGGGCTCATTCAGACAGCACTTTGTGTGCTCATCTCCTCAACCATTAGACTCGATGAGTCAAAACCAGCTGTGGGAGTAGGGCACCATATTATGTTGATACATTATGGATAGATATACACACACCCATTCGAGTCCTATACCTGAAATAGGATGGGCATGGTCCAGTCACCTTGACAATTCCTAGAGGAGAGGCTCATAAAAGAGAACAAAGGAACTCATGAGTTCAAAGATAAGGTCTGCTCCTTTCCAGTGCAAAAGAGCAGAAAAAATGAGGAGGACAGGGTAAGAAACATATCTTGGTACTAGGAAAAGAGAAAAGCCATGGCCATAGTCACCCAACAACTAAGAAGGGCAGAGGCCAAACATGCTTAGATGAAGAAGCTGATAAGAAAGAAAGAAAAATGGTGCACAGAATTACCATTTGGAAGAAATTGGTAGAAGGACCAATGACAAAAGACGTGTCATTGATGCTAATAAACAAATACAGTGGAAGGATAAGGATAATGCCACAGCAGTGGAAAGTCTGGTCTGGGGGTGGGGTCTGTTGAACAAGCATATCAAAGCCAAGGTGGTCTGATAGGGTACCAACAAAAAGGCCCAAGAAGAATACTAGTGTGTAGATCCAAGGTCCAGAAATAGAAGACGAATTAAGGAGTAGGTATAGGCAAAGAGGTAAGACCAGGGATGGTTGATAAAAACGACAGCCAACACCAAAGAATGAGAAAAGAAGGACTGTAAGAGAGGAGGCCCAGAGTAGAGAAGGGTGGCAAGTGTTCGAGAGAGAGAGACATGTACAACCATGGAAGATCTGTGGGTGCAGAGGCTACTGATTAACCGAATAAGGACTGGCCAATAGAGGAAACTTGCCAACAAGAAGGAAGCTCCCAGCAAACAATGAAAATGGGCACAGAAGTATATAGATAATGGCCCAAACAAAAAAAAGGCCCTGGAACAGATGCCACAAACATGGTTAGAACATGGAAAGGCCATGGAAAAGATTAAGTGGAATATGACCAAGTGAAAGGCCAGAAGAAGCACAAATGGGAACATGCCCAATAAAGAGAGAGAGATAGTTGAGCATGTTGATGAGAGTAGACACTAGTCCAATGCAAAAACATTGGAAGACCTACTCTCACAAAAAATGTACTTAAATCTGAGAGAAAGAAGCATGGAAGAAGGGGAGATCTTCTTTTAGAGGTGGTAAGGGAATGCAGGAAGTAGGATGGGAATGGTGCAGTCGCCATGACAATTCCTAGAAGAAAGGCTCATAAAAGAGAACAAAGGGCCCCAAGAAAGACAACATAAGATCCAAAATGTCACTGTAGTAGATGCATGAAGACATGCCTGAAATGAAGGAGAAATCTAGAGAAGTCAGAGTCCACAAAAAAAGAATCTCTCACACAATGAGAACAGCAAGTGTAAAACCTCATGACAAAAGAGGTCATAGTTCAAAGTCAAAGACAATAAGCTGACTTGACACAAGAGAAGAAAAAAATGTACTTAAGTACCCAACAGTGAGAAGGTGTAAGAAATAACCCAGATTCCAAGACAAGTCCTCCCTAACTGAGCAGCTACCATAATAAGAGAGAAGCAAGAAAAGAATGGTTTAACAAGATATAAACAGTAAAAAAAAAGGAATGCCAGCTATGGTTGAAGAAATTTGGCAAGTGAAGATTCCCTTGATACCAACCAATACAAGAGAGTGATTATGCTGAGGCAAAAAGAAAAAGCAAGGAATGGGAAGATGCTAAAAAGGATGAATAGGACAGAGAAAACAGAGGATGGGCCTGAGAGAAACATGTAGGAAGATATTTGATACACTGACCATGGCCGACCGCTGATTAGGTAAAACAGACCATAGATGATGTCAGGGAGAGGAGAAATGGAAATATCTAGAAAAGCAAAGAGAAATCATGATAAACCATTAAAGCTTTTGAAAGGAAAGCTAAAGAAAAGAAAAATCAAAATTTTGTTAACCATGTATATCTCATTAAATTGAACATGATGAGAAGTTTAAACACTTCTGGTCAATAAAGTGCAAAGGAAAAGAATGGGGATTCATTAAAGCAAAATGTAAGGGTAGTAACTGTACATAGAACTGTGTCACCCTACTATTGGTGGTGGGTTCTGTTGCATGATGATGTCATCATGCAGTAGTGCAAATTCAGATGGTTTCATGTGAGATGAGGTGGGAATTTTCAACAAGTGGTAGCTTGCAAATATCTTTGGCAGAATGCACAGAAAAGCTGAGAGAGGTAGCTACTCTGTGTGAAGAGGCGAGTATTATTTTGCGAATTGCTTCTTATTCACAACCACCCTTTCATCATGTTTATATGTGAGGTAATAAGAAAAGCTATCAATCTCTACTGTAACCACAAGACTATCACAACAAACTTAAAATTTATGCTCAATTTTCCATTTGTTCAATCAAATTCTATCTTACATTGAAAAAACAAAACTCCTCAAACACATAAAACACTTTCTATTGAAGTATCAAATTCTAATTTAGTGAAGTTTATTACAAATCACAAAAATTAACATAAGAAATGAAACTTACAGCTCTTTTGCCAGTTTTTTGCAGTACCCTAGAATATAATTTCCTTAGTTGCCTGTTTTAACACAGGATTATAACTAGAATGTAGAATTATTTAAACAAACTCACCAACTTTACATTCATTTCTTCAGCAAGAGTATCACAATCTCTGCTTTTTGTTTCCACTTCTTGTGACTTTTGATCATAGTTTACAGCCAGCTCCTCCAGTGCCTGAAGCACTTCTTTCACCTCCTCCTTAGCGGATTCATTTTCCTGCTGGATCTTGTTCATCTCTTGCTGTAGGTTCTCATAATCTCGACGAGTGGACATGATTAACTAGAGATAAAAGCAGTAATTACCAGTTTTCATTACCTTTATAAACACTTTGGTACAATGAAAGTTATTAAGTTCACTTGGTAAAAACAAAAAGAGAGAGAGAGAGAGAATTCTTATTGAAATACATGTAAGGATATTTTTGACATAAAAATTAGTTTTGCGTGTTTTTTGTGTATGAACAATTAAAGAATAACATAGATTAAAATAATATGTATAAATTCCACAAATTATTATATTTAAAGGTTGTGGTTTCTCAATAAAATATGTAAAACATGAATTTAAAAAAAAATACTTTTCTCAGGTTACATTAGAATGTACTACTATAAAGATGCTAAATTAGATTCCTATATTCTATGTAAACATTACATACACATACCTCTCCTTGCTCTAGCATCTGTTCTTTGAAGGATTCAATTAACTGACTCTGACGATCAATTTCATCATCTTTTTCATCCATATCCGAATATAGGCGAGCTCTCTCCTCCATAAACTTGGCTCTCTCCTCACTGGTCATTGGTTCAGCAGATGTCAGAGGTGCTAAGTTAGGTAAGCTGACCACAGAAGAAGACTCAGAGAGACTCAGAGTACTGGTTTCCAACTCCTTGCTAGTAAGTTGTTCATCCTGAGGTACTGTCTCTCCTAAAGATATATTTCAATTGCACTTTTACTTACAATCTTTCACATTTGCATCATGTTTATACATGAAGAATGGGAAAAATCTATATTTTCTACAGTATATCCACAAGATTCTGCAATAAGAAAGCAGTAAAATGCTAAATAATCTACAATTTTATACAAAGTAGTATAATCTAATTTTGTATTAAATTTCATAATCAAGTCATGCTTTACACAAATTTATTTAAATTTGTAATTAATGGAAGTAAGCACAGGTGGCAGAGTGCAATATTATTTAATGACTGAAAGATATAAACCATTAATTAATGAAGACAGCAAACAATTTCAGAGAAAATGTTTAATTACTTGTACCCATCATTTCGCTTTACACCTTTACCAAGGGTCTATTGAGAAAATCTGCAACACCATGGACGGTAAGATGCAAGCCAGGATCAAACTTCAAAAGCTACTGTTGTCCAATGTATAGTTACATTACTAAGACATTTCACAGTTTTAACTAACAAGATATTAACAAACGACATCAAAAAAAGAAACTACCACATCAAGACACTGTTTCACTGATCATGTCTTTTGTGGATGAACCTTTAACTACTCTCCTTCGTCAAGCGATTAGATCTGGTTTGAATATCAAAATCATACAAAAACCTGGTAGAAAACTGAAGAATATACTCACTCATTCAGCCTTTAATAACAACAATACATGTAAATCCAAAAAGTGTTTTGCAAAGACGAATGGCTTAGAGAAGTCCTGCACACTTAAAAACACAGTCTATGAACTTACATGTACACAGTGTTCAGCAACATATGTAGGTGAATCCAATCATCCAGTACACGATTGTTTCAAAGAACACATTCGTGCCACTGGAAATCTTGACAACAAAGAAGCTATCACTGTACATTACTTAAAAGAACATGGCACAATCAATGGGACACCTTATATAATCAAAGTTTTAGAAACTTGTGACAATTTTCTCAACAGAAAATATAAGGAAACACTTTTGATTCAATCCAGATGCCCTTCCATTAATAGGTACAATGCCTGGTCCCTTTACCATTTTATTATTGTTATTATTAATTTTATCATTATGATTTTATTTATTTTTATATTATCATCATTTTCTCGATTTTTATGATCAAAGACTCAAAACTGTTTGATTATACTCGTATCATGTACATTTTTATGATATATCATTGTAGCTGCATTTTGTTTTCAGTTATTGTCATGTAAAATCAGTTTGGTAACCTGTGGCGTTCATAGACCCTTGATAAAGGTGTTAGCCGAAATGTCGGGTACAAGTAATTAAACATTTTTCTGAAGTTGTTTGTCATCTCCATTAAATAATGGTTTCTATCCTTCAGTCAGCACTGAAAATTATAAAAAACAGTAATATAGAGTGCAATATTACTGTGTTTGATGACATTGTATTTTGTTTCAATCAATGCTCTTGAAAACTTCAAAATAATGAGAACTTTCTAATGATATAAATTAAGATTACTAAAACATGGGTAGAAACAAAATTTTTTGGCATTACTGAAAATTCCAAGCTTTCACAAACAAACATTTCCATCCAACTTTACCAACACATATGGTAATTGTCAGTACTAGGCTTATGTAATAAATCACTGTGCAGATGTGAAACTGCATTAAAAAGATGACTTGAGTATGAAATGAAACAAAAAAGTGTTTTATTTTTTTGAAAACAACTGAAAAACTATTTAGACTTGACATAATGATCTTATAAATATAATTAACCCTTTGTATTTCACAAGTTTCTTTCGCAATTTCCTTTTTCTTCTACATTTTCTTTTCAATCATATCTATAAATATTCCCTCTTTTTTTCCTACTAATATCTTTAACTAATTTGCAATATATTATACTCCATATTTTTCTAAATTGTTAGTTCCACGTTGTCTTATAAATATTGACAATTTAAGAATTCGCACAAGGTTTAGGACTTAATATTTAAAAGAAAACATACAAGAATTATTCAAACAATATTCCTAGAAACTAATGAATAACTAGTATAATAAAATAGATCAGACAAATGACTAAAAAAAAGTGTAAAGTTTCTATTTTTGATATCTGTACTTTGTACTGCAACTAACCATTTCTCCAACGATTGAGTTCTGCTTCCACTCGTTCCAGCTGAATCTTTAGCTTAGCATTCCTATCTTTCTCTTTTTCGTAGCGACGCTTCCATTCCTCAGCTGTTAATTCCTCATTTATTATTACAGTATTCTTGATAGTTTTAGCTCTGAAACAAAAAATGAACCAAATTAAAAAGATGTAAACTGAAGTTAAAATATAAAACTATGCACGATGAAGGAAACAAGTTAATAAAAGCCAGTAATCTCATATTCTTTATAAATCACCTTTGTTTTACATTCATAGTATGCTCAGAAAAAATGTGCTTTTTTTAACATTTCAAATGATAAAGATGAAAGAAGACTAAGGTACTAAGGTTAGTGACAACCACCTTGTTCCACAGATAAAGAAAGGTACAGATACATTTCCACTACGTCAAAGCACACATCTCTCTCTCTCACTGCGAGTCACAGAATTCCAGCTTCAACTTCTAAGCATTTCTTCTCAAATTGTTTGACCCACAAAACTTTTCTTCTCTACCAAGCAAAGTCAAATGATATTTACTTCTCATCAAAATTTAGCATAGCCATGCATGCATGATGCAGAATATGGACACACAAGATCAGTGAAGTATAGGTTCCTTACATTTCTTCAATGCATTGAGAGCTTGTTTTTCTTTAGAGTTGTTGATCACAGAAGTAGGTAACTTTGATGCAAAAAGTTTCTCAAATTCATGAAAAACATGTACAACAAGACTCATTCTTCAGGTATAATTCTGAAATGGTAATACATTTAGTGATGCTTAGGTGTATTCTCTACTCAGAAATTGATGTCTAGAATTGGGGTCTTTATCACTCAGTACAGGCTTGACATAGCTTCTTCAAAGATTGCTACAGCCTGAAGATAAACTTTAATTAGACTAGATTTGTAAAGCAAAGAATGATAGAGTACCAACATATTTTCAGTGGCTTTTAAACAAGTACTTGAATTTCTTTTTTTTTATGTCACTCAACAGTAGATTTAGAAAATGCTTTACAATATTTTGAATTGCTTCTTTATGGATCACATGTTTAATTTTTTGATGTTGCCTACAGAAGTGCATTAAAAATCTATGGTAACAATATGTAATATTCAATCCAAATTAAAAAAAAATACCCCGAGGTAATTTTTCCTCTTGATATTTAACTGCTTTCCAAAATCCATAAACTCTGTGTTAATATTTTCAAAATGAGACCCAAAACTCGAGCGCTTTTGAATAGTTGACTATTCTTCTTCCCTTTATTCTCCTGAAGAAAAATAGTCAACTTTTGTAGGTGATCCTGTGTGCTAACTACTTAACCTGAACTCTGTGTTAATGACAGCTTTTGAAGGGCCTGTTTCAACAACCCAAAGGTACAAAAGTCTATAGGAAATATTTGAAATTGGTATAGCATCAATTCTTTATATATCTTAGAGAGGAAATGTTTTTTGATTGGAGGTGCTGTTCAATGCTTTATCTTGATGAAGCCATACCTTACTGGTATCCAATCCATATAAAGATGGTATTTCCTTGCAGTATAATGGTGTTGGCTTGTTATCCTGATAACAGCAAAATCCACCTTGGCATTTTTTCCCCTGATTTTGCAAATGTTTGACTTTAAAACTTTTGTAACCTGCATACATCATAAATCTCAAGGAAAAATTTTTCTAACATATATTTGAAATGTTATATCATCAACATGATGATAAAAGATTGGTCATTTTTGGAGACACTTTAGCTGAAACGTTTCATATTGTATGTGGCGACATACTTCCTCTAATCAAGTCAGACACAAACTTTTACAGATTTCAAGACTGATCTTTTATTTGGTTATGTGCTTTGAAAGAAACTTGTAAACACTCTTGCATCACTCTTATAGACCTAAATCCATGTGAAATACATTGTTTATAATTATAAGAGATTCCTATTTAATTCCAACTGAATTTCAACAAGGACAGGGCTTTTGGTCTGTTATCACAGGCCACTGGCAAGGTGATTGTATATGCAAATTGTTATCAAAGATCATAAACATCTTTTGTATAAGGATCAAGTTATGAGTGATCCAACCATAGTAAAAATATTTATCTTAGAAGTAACTGCTAGTCTCTTTTTTCATACTAGTAGTATTGCTTGTTATAATATTTAGCAACCTTGTAATACAATTCTCATCTGTGATCTTAGATATTGCATGAGAAATGAGCTTGACCATGAGTCTGCCTGTATTTGTGTTGATTAATCTTAAAAGCAACTGGTAACGGTGTAGTAAGTTGCAATTTACAACTGGTTCATCACATAAGTTACATCTACCACTTTGCATTCCACTTCAAGAAAGAGTCATTTAAATCTTGTGTTCAATGGAGGAATAAGCAATAAATATTGGGTTGGAAGTTGTAGGTATGGGCATACATGTTGTTGGTTGTTTGTTATAATCAAGTATGACAACCAAATATTTCAATTTTCAGTTATTTCACCTCATTTCAGCATTTATGGGCCCAAAAGATAGCTATATAGTTCTATTTTTGCTCAGAACTTTCTTCTACACTGTATGTCAGTAGACGGTTGAGAGTGGTCACTGTAGTTTCTTAAGGAACTTTTATCTTAAACCTCTTGAATTTGCCTTGATATAAATGTAGCAGTAGATATACATTAGAATGACTGTCACCATGCATTATCCTGTGTATTTTGCTTCAAACTTGCATCAAATATGCCACAGTTCTTCAGATTGGTTCTCAGACAGTTTTCATAGAATTTACTCTGACCTTCTTATGTGTATTTTCCTTAGGCTGGCTCAGAGTTTAATATCTTTTATGGCAGTCTGCTGTTAATCATTCACACAATACGAACAGCTCATCTCAGTTGTGCCTTTGTGACCATTTCTCAATGCCTGGGTGTTTAGCTCTTGACAGTATTTCCATGTCAGGGATCTTATTTTGCCAGTATATTTTCAGTTTTCTTAAGACAACTACAGGGAGATGATTAAGCTTTTTAATATGATGAACATTAAGTTGTCCAGATTTCATAGGCATAAAGATGTAAAAACTGTATCACCATATACTTTCAGTTTTGTGGCAAGTCTGACTCCCACCCTTCTTAACCCAGACTTTCTGGCATACACTCTACAAAACAGCATTGGTCTTAGCTATCATGAGGTTCACCTCCTCGTCTATCATGCCCGACAAAGCATTAGCTAGGTGGGTAAATTTGTTCACTGCTGTCAACATGTAACCATCGATTTTGATGACTGGAATAATTTAAGATTTGCCAGAAGATGGTTGATATATGATTTCAGCCTTTTTCAGACTGATTGTTAGGCTAAATTGGTAACAGCCATTAAAGAAAGGATCAATTATAATCTCTAGATCTTTGTGTTTGGGTTGGAAAGGCACAATCATCAGTAAGCAGAAATTCTCACACCAATTCTTCAAAGGGATTTGACTTAGCTTGGAGTCAGTGCAGGTTGAAGAGTTTGCTGTCAGGTCTCCATCTTCATTTCCTCTCACCATCATGAAATCGGCATACCATCTGGATGAACTTTTCAGGTCAACAAGTTTAGCAAGAAGGTTCCACAAATCTTCCCTGCTAATAATGTCAAAAGCCCGAGTGAAATCCATAAATATGAAGTAAATGTCTATGAATTGTTATCTGCACTTTTCCTGTAGCAAATATGGTATAGTACACAAAAGCACTAACTACACCTCTTTTAAAAACACAGTGGCACAAAAATTCTTGAAGCTGCCAAACCATTTCTTCAGTATAATATTGGTTATAGAAATGATACAGGTTATTCTCTGTTGAGTGACTAAATGCTCATGTCATCTAGTGAATGCAGTCAAAACTAGAATAATTGCAGAGTTCAATTTGTTCAGACCCCTTTTTTTGTGTGTGATATTAGAATGGTTTCTTTTATGCTTGATGTCCATTCATTTGAAGAGTTTGATAGTATTTTAAGTTTGATGTTTTTCCATCATATGCCTCCCTATGCTTGATAACAAATAAAAATATCCAACTTGGATGTATTCTTGTATGTATTCTTTTATCCACCATTTCACATTGCTTATATATGCCAAACTGCAATGAATACACTTGAATTCACACATTACATCAGATCTCTGAAGGTAGGATACACTCTCCTTGACAAGAATGCAATTTTCCAGTCTTAAACTTAACATTTTCCTTACCTGAAAATGTATTTCCATCAGATACTCACCTATATACACAGGAAGCTATCTTCCCCATGCATTTGCCTTAGAAATTTGCATGCCACTACTTTTTAGGCAACTCCCACCTAAACTCACAAGATTTCTTGTGATTTGTGCTACTGCATAATGACATTATCATGCAGCAAAAGCCCTCCATCAATAGTAGGAGAACACAACCTCCCTGGAGACTAACACCCTCTATGCCAGTGTTTCACAACCTTTTTTTTTTGCTGCAGCACCACCTTCAGCAAGTAATGAGCACTCAAGCCCACTTCTAATAAATTTTTAATACAAGTACCAAAGTGGTGCCAAAAGAGATATGCTCAATGAATGGACAAGAAACTTTGAGGTGGGCATTGCTTGCCACAAACACATCCATTCAATGATTTTTTTTCTCAAATGTGTTGAAAGAAAAACACCTATTTCTTGTGGTTTAATTTTAACAAATATAACTTTTCTATCTGATCCCCTGTCAAAGTTTACTGCCCCCATGAATTTTAAAAACACCAACTAGGAGGTAGTACCCACTCTATGCTTTTGCACTCATCATCTTCATTCTATGATGAGGCAAAGAAACTAATTTGCACCAGAGGTGGAAAGGAGGGATGGGAAGTGTGTGAAGAGGTCTCTATCAAAAATACATTTTCAGGAAAGGAAAATGTTAACTTTCAAGGCAATACACACCTCTCACACAGAAATATAAAATCCCACATTGATATAATGGAGGGACCAGTGCGAAAGTTACCTAGAAGAGCTCCTTTCAGAAAGCACCTGAAGGAAATCCATGGAGTGTGGTGTCTGATAGTAGGGGTTCCATAGGGGCATACTCATGGGAGACAGCATCATCTCATCTCTTCCAGGGTACCTTTCATCCAGCTTGGAAGGGAGGAAGAGATATGTGTCACAGATATGGGTGGGATAAGAACATGGCCACCTGAGTACTGGCACACA